AGCATCCAGGCTGTCTGTTCAGGTGAGTAGTGGTTACACCGGGCAATCAACCCACACCAAACCACCTGCCACGCAAGGGATGGTCGGAGAATGAGGGACGTTATGTCGCATACATGTGCAAGTTAACCGACTTGTTATTTAGCCCCAGGCAGCGGTCCACTTCAGAGCCGGGTTACCTGCCGATTCGCAGTGAGTCTGAAACAGCCAAAAAGTGCCTCTCAACTTCGTATTTTTGTTTAAAGTTCCCTGAAAATAAAAGGTCCTAATCATTTTGCTTAAGAATTATGCATAATGTTACCAAACGGGAAAACACCCCATATTTAGAAGGACCAAGTCTCCGGGCAACCGTTACCCAAGAATCGAGTCCATATCGGATCAAAGTCATATCGNGAGTCCATATCGGATCATGGCCAACTACATCTTAAAAAATTCGGCATTCCATAAAGTCACCAAATTTTTGACAGGTTAACTTATGCAAAATAAACTACGGGCGAAAATCTGAGAGTAAGCCATTCATTTCTGTCCTGTTTTGTTAAGGCGAGGTGACAAAAAGCGTCAGTTCTGCATTCGAAAGGTATTCCGTTACTACACCCACCGCCTGCTAAATCAAGGGACCTGGAAATGTTAGTTCCATCTCTTGTACACGTCTGGTCATTCTGAGGCCGGCTGATGGCTCCACTTCAGATCGGAACCACACAAGCATGGACACAGTTACCTTTTCAACCGGAAACGTTCATTTAATAATCACACCATGTTACAGCATCGCCATTGAGGTGTCCTTATATGATAAGTTTAACACTTTACCCTGAGTACATCTACAAGACTCAGAAACGCTTCGCTTTATCAACTTTGTACTCTTTTTAAGATGTATCAACCACAGAAAGCTGCAGAACAGGCTTTGATTACCGGAAATTCGGAAGAGATTCCGTGGATCAAATCTCTCGGATTAACGACAATAGGGTCAGATGATGATGAACTCAATTTTCATAATATTAACAGCATACTGAGTGGTATTCACACTCATATCTATACATCATCCAAGCACTTTGGAAGCCAGACGATCAACTAAAATGACGACCCCAGGGAATAGATCGACCTATATTGTGAACATTTTCCAAACAGCAACGCACGCATCGAACCACGAACCTATAAACGATTCATTATTTTTTCGGCCCGGAAATGAAGCCGTCCATATTTTGCAAGTAGTATATCATGTAACAGCCATTTCCAGGCTATTACGCTATTTTTAGAGCAGGTAATTTGCAGGCTGTAGGATCTCAAATTAATTTGCGCACTTCGTTTGGGTCCCACACACACGCATCTTTGATTCGCAGGTACCTGGATGTGGTCGTTGAATTTTTAAAAAGAATGAGACCGAATTGTTGATTAGCTCAGCTCATTACACGTTGCCGTCTGTACAAACCATTTTCATCTAGGTTAATTTAGGAAAACCAGCAGGTACCGTGAAAGGTGGTATATATCTACGTCTATTGTGGAGCGTGGAGAGGCTGTGTCGATTGTTCCTCAATCTACTGGGTGAGTTCAGGTCGGATGTGTAGGTAATTCAGCTAGCTCCGCTGTCGAACTTAATCGTCACGTCCTCAGTACTCACATCACGAAGGATGCACTTCTGAAGTATTGTGATTCCAGACGGTCTTTTCAGGACACTCATTCACTGAAGCACGCACAGCAATCCTTCAAGCCTCGTGCATACAAAGACCATCGGCTCCTTACAGCAGAAGTTTAGCTTTCGTGCTCGATAATGTCGGTTTGATTTCCGTCTGCTAGATGTCAAGTTTACATATCGGCTTCCTTGGAGCGTCAAAATTCGAGGCGAGGTAGGTTTCCATTGCCATAGGAACGTGCAATGTGCACCTCACTGGTGAAAGTCCTGCGTGTGTGTGACGAGTAGTGTGTACCATTCCTAGCCGAGAATTAGATCATTCACCATTGATTCTGAGACGGAATGGGCTCAAATGACCAGTTGTGCCGACTGACTAATAATGCATGCGAAACTAGCTTCTACTCCAAAGAGAAACTCACAGTCTTTTATGAAATGTATGAGAAGATATTTTGTGCTTCAAAATCGTATCAAAAGATTCATCCACGTCACAACGAACTGATATGTCTTAGAAGGATGTGGAGTAGACATCTCCATATTCTCCTGATGGAGTCACTTACCCAGTTTGGAATTTAAGTCCTAACGTTTCGTTCAACCCTCAACTGGATACGCAACACAGCGAAATTCTCACATCTTTTGTTGAAAGTATTGGAGCGCGCTTTATACAACAAACGACGAAGTAATGATATTTCAGTCCAAACTAGTTTACGGCCATTACGTATTGTCTTCAGAATTTAAAAGGCCTTGCTTTGTGAACAGCCCACGTCAGTAACCCTTGTCAACCTGCTCCCCGGCTGTTTCAAACTGTGTGTGTAAATGTCAGTTTCAAAGTTCACCAGGCGAGGCATCCACACAATAACCGGGTCAACTGTAATACCCCGTTGGGTAGACGATGAAACAGGAAACTGCCTAACCCGATTTTCCTTGGTGGTACCAAGATTTGAAACCCGTTAATATCCTCATGATCACAAGACCATTTTTAAAGGCTTATGTCGCCACTTGACAGGGCAAAGCTGACATGCCGATCATCGATCGATACGGCCGGAAGGCAGAGGCCACCCATCGCTCAGGCGTGTACAAGGTCATCACTTCAAATGGGATGAGTCAGACCGTGCCAACAAACGCTTGGGTACACACTAGTGGTTGCACACACGCGTCACTGGTTAGACGAATGAAGCACCAATTCCGATATAATCAAGGAAATTTTTGGGTGATCGAATTGCAAAAGAGTAAAACTCGAAGTCAATGCTTCCCTCTCTTGGTGTGATACACCGAGCAGAAGCGCTCTAACACGAATAATGTAGATCCAAATTGTGTCGGTACCGCATACGTCGAAAATTGATATTCTGGTGAAACCAGTGCATTTTTTCATCCTACACAGACAACTATTGGAGTTTTGACGGCCTTTTAGCTGCCTGTAGGTCATTGCTTGTCATCGGGAGGTTCTGGGAACCGTGAGTGAATTTGTGAGGTGAATTTGCTTAAACAATTTGTTGACGCCCTTCACCATATTTGCACACACGGTGCTTTTTTAGTTTCAGTTTTCGCTGACTGGATTCCAACCCGAAAGCTTACGGTTTTGTACACAATCACCAAACATTTGAATATCACAAATTCCCGAATACGAAAACAGTTGCGTTTCGATTTGGAGAACCTACATAACATGGAGTTATTCGGCAACTTTTATCTGGTATGCATGACATTTAAGTGGTTAAAGTGGAGACCTCATAATTTTTCAACCGTATCCTGTTATCGGAAAATTCATCGTCTCAAAAGATGAACAAAAAATAAAGCGCGGCTTTGCGCAACGATTCTCAAGACTGCCGTTGATTTGAGCCCGAACGACGCCATCAGCGCTGAGGAATAAATCTGGCTACCAAATGAATTCCTACGGATTTCGCTTGTTTTCCGGCACCAAGGAATCCTTTGTAACACTGCCTGTTCCATGAACTTATTACAAAAGGACACTCTCCTTGACTCTGCCGAAAATTCACTGTTATTATCAATCGTGTGTACTGTAGTTGGCATGCGCGATCAATATGCAATGAATGTTGGTTGAGTCACTCAGTTGGAAGACGGTTATCTGATCTATTACTTTAATACCCGTGGAAACTGTTCAATACAATCTGTTTTAGCGAAAGGGTCACAGCTGAATAGAAAAATCTTCGTCACGGACAACCAGGAAACTTCTATTCAGGGAGGTGGACACACGTCGAAAACTGGTCCTCTTTGACAGCACACGACCGGTTTCGCCCTTCCAGTTCGGGCTCATCAGGTAGGCGCAGTCCCCGAGTTTCCGTCAACCTTATGTTCTACGTGAACCCAAATTGGACTGTTTTCGAGAAATACACTCATTTGCAAATCAATTTGGTCTTCACATTCTAATTGTGCGTCACCAGCAACCTTGTGAGTAGCCCATTACAAAATATATATCTATCGCGTTATCTCGAATACCGTAGCGACTAAAACATGAAGCGGCCTGGTGCAGCACATTCAGTTGCCTGGATACATCTCAAACGAGAACCCATGGGTTGCGTGGGCCTTCCGTTTCAGAGATCGTCAACAGAAAAGTCAGCCAACACCAAATCACGTGGTTTGGAATGAGTAACGGAACAATGTGTCTGTCGAACTGCCAGTTGAGCACACTGACAATCAACACCTAAGGTGGAACAGAAGTGTTGAACTACCAAACAAGAGGTCGATTTTTCGAATCTCTGTGGAGAATTCTGAGGTGTGCATTGGCAGTGGTTTCTATCAAGGGTGAGCCAAACACACAATGCTTCGCACCTTTTCAGCATAGATTAGGTCCCCTTGGAGGATGAAAGGTCGAAGACGAATATGCGGATTTCTTGTCTAAATTGTTTGTTTGGCTCACCCTNAATCTCTCGTTTTGATGTTCTCCAGCTGAATGTGCTGCACACAGGCCGTCTCAGGATTCAGTTGGCATGATATTCAGCTTGCTATTTACTTCCATTCTTATTGGCGGACATTGGTGAAGATAAATTTAAAGGAATAAAGCCAGCTGAAATTCAAGTTCACCCCTGTTCAAAGAATGCATGTGTTTGCCATAAAACTGAGGGAGCTGACTAAACTGGTCTCCTTTGAGTCACTGTAGAGTACCCGTTTGTCAAACAATGAATATGCTAGCTACTTCCGAAAACGCTTGCTGTCACTGTTGAAGGATATGCAGCTTACAAAAATATAAGCAACTGTGGTCACTCATCAAGCGATGAAGTAACATGTACAGAAGTTGGTGAGAAACGGACCACGTGAACAAGACTTTGTACGTAGTGATGACGTTCTTTTCGGGATTACCTTTTGGCTAAGCCAGGTTTTTCCAGGAGACATACGTTACCAAAACAAACTCCGCCGTACTTACCTTCGAGTTCAGCCTGTTTAGATTCCTCCGGTAAGAATAGGCCACCAGGATAAAACTCCAAGGAGCCTTCGGCAGTCTTGACATTCAACCCGGTATTCCACGTAATCCACAAATAGGTTCTTCCGTTCACCATGCGAGGCAGACACAAAGCGGTATCAACTGCTCGTGGTCGAATGCCTCTGACATGAGCAATACTGTTTGGGGATAACTGCCATCCCAGTCTGGATTGTTGGTAAATTTTGGTAATTTGTATATAGGCTTCATATCCGTTGCTGTTCAAATAACTCGCGGAAGTCTGCAGCAGGATGGCTTCAAAAACTAGGGTTTTCCTGCGATTCAACGAGGCTAGGAACTGCTCTTTGCTCAGACAGGCCGAAGTTGGGTTCGAGGTAAATGTAAGACACAATAAGATCACGATAATCCAATTGTCAGTAGTGGGGACACGCTTCCGTGTGGTCATTTTACCAACCTGTATATCCAACCTTGTCACAGCGACCTGATCACCTCGAGTCAGTCATTTGTCATTTCGTCACCAAGTAAATGAGTCAGGATGCCCTAATCCCGCAACAGAGACTCTGCATGCCGCGTGGGTTCACGAAAGATGCCTGTCTCGTAGCGCACCAAGTGCCCGCATGTGCACGCACATGCCTACACGTGCGTGTGTGACTGTCAATTAGGATGGTATGGCACACGTTTGTAGGCGCGCGCGCGCGCGCACGTGCCTTTGCGAGCGTGGACAGACAGACACCAACCGCTGCTCACCACGACAGCAAAAGACGCAAGTGGCAGAGCAATTGTGTGCTCGCTGTTTACTCGACGTAACCAAATTCAGTAGGCATCACCTGGATGCACACTCCTCAGTGCGACCTGACAGCGCTTGGCTAACGGCTGAGACAACACTGCCCTCGTGCACGCGCCTGTGGATGGATAACCTGACGCCGAACTCGATACGGAACACCGCTTGAGCTATTGAATTTCACATTTTGCTCAGCTTGTGGAATGTTTGCTCTGAATGTGTGTGTGTGTGCGCGCGCGCACGTAATTAAACGTGTGCCAGGACAGCTGGATCCGCACCGACTTTAGTGTTTGCACTGATTAGAGAGCACAGCAGGTACTGAGATAAGGGCGCATTCTTGATTTGGTTACCGACGGTAACAAAACTTGATTTTACCAGGTTTCCGGAACGGCGATTCGAAATTACCAGTTTCGAGGCATGTGCGAAGCTATGGAAGCTAGCAACGCCATCAAAGAATATCAGTTTGAATTTGAAACCAAATAAAGGACAATTTGGGCTAGAGAGCGATCATGATAAATTTGGTTTGCATCACAGCGCATCAAGTCGCAAAAAAACAAGAAAACCACCAGATTATTTATTTATTTGTCTATTTTATGGCGTTCAAATAGTTTCAGCATTTTAGGCGCACAGTGATGAGCAACGACTGTGACCCACTACTCGCGCGTTACAAGGAGGAATTTAGTGTAAGCGCTTTGGCATGTTTGTAGCCGATGGCCGATGGCATAACATTATATTCTATCCGCCTGTTTTCCCCTTCAGATGCACGTTTTGCGCGCGCGGGATTCAAGCTACTCTTTTCTCGTGGATGTTCCATCCTTTGGGATCTCGCACACATTTGATATTGTTCAATCTAAAGCCTCTTATGCGAACTGACGGTAGTACACACAATGCCTGAGGATACTTGAAACTCCCAGTCTCCTAAATTTGATATGAGTTTCCTAGAACGAATATCAGGTATACGTGAACTATTGAAATTTACTGCACGGACCTCTGGACTTATACTTGAATGTATATGAGTCGTCACTATGACTGAACTACGTTCGAGCTTGTCTGCTGGTTTAACGGCGAGGCTACTGATGAACGGGCATGCGAGTAGTATGTTTTGTTCTTGTAAATGTGCTTTGCGTCTCTTGAAAAGGGAGATCTTTTGCAGAATTTGTGGAGTCGCTTCATGACGTTTGCTTGGATTTGAGCAATTAATGATTGGAGTCAATGAATATCCAGAAAGGTTCAAGAAGACGCGTTCAGGAGATGGATGTTCAGTTTCTGTAGATAAGATGCAAATGAGAGTTTTCCTTCCCTGTCCAATAATCTGTAACTGATCAGTTGGCATTTTCTAATAGACGACTCCACAGCGAAGGCCTCCTTCCTTTCACTGGTAGCTTGGGAAAATATCTGGGTGTTTAATTATGTTAAAACCATGCTAAACACCGACTAAGTCGCACCTTTTATACATAGCGAGAGTGTTCACATCATTTCTGTTATTCGTGGAGAAAATAGATTGGATATCTCATAGGACGACTTGCCGTATGGTGCTGCGATGACGCTTGACACCTGATAGACGGTCCAAATGAAATTCCCGCGTTGAAACCTACTAATAAGTTTACAGACGCAAACAGCCTACATAGGAAGTCACCCAAATGTGGCACTTGACAAAGATGTGAGGGCGCAAGACAAGGACATATTGCAAAAGTGTCTCTGAGAATTCTGTTGAAAACGGATGAAATACCGTATGAGTAGTATGTCACTTTTAGACGAGAAATTCATCTAGTTTTGTGAATATAATTGGTTTTCTTGAGTTCTCAACTTCAAAAAGTATTACGTTAGGAGTAAATAAAGTACGAATGGGAAGGATATGCGCTCCACGTGTTGTCTAGTAAGCTGTTCACCAGTTTCTCAAAATGTGCTCAAAATAAACTTTCTGTTTTATTGTTAGTGCGCTATCGGTGGGATTTATGGCGGAACCTTCTTCGGGTTTCTTGGTTGCTGAATAGGCTGGAATAACCACGATGAAATTACTCTTTAAACCTCATTTCTGTAATTATCCAAATGTTTCTAAAGGTGCCGGATGTTTCGGAACAATGCTCCGAAATATCGCGCTCGTTCCCTCAACATATTTCGGTATGTTGATGTGATTAAGTCCTGTCAGTGAAACCACTCTGTGTTGAAGGGCCACGAAGGTGTCTACAGCCGTTTCATCCTTGTTGGAATTCATCAGAAGTGCGCATCTCACGAAAAAAGAGAGCTTTCAACCGGCGATCTTTTGATCGGTGAGCTAATATTTAATTGTTTGGCCAAGATCGGCTGATCAGCAGTGATTAGTTCTCACTAAGAGAGGACAAAGCGCCACTTATACCTCACTCACTGAAACCACATCACGTGCTGATGTATTGACTGGCTCTTCGAGTGAGCACTTGTCGGAAAAGTTTCCATAATCTTGTGGAATTATTGTTTCTCTGAGTTGCTTTTGGAATGATGATAGTGTGAAGAATTTTGGTAATCCTCACTGAAAGGGTTCCTGCTGTCAGTGAGGCTAGCCCATGCTGAAAAGCACCAAGGAGTTCTGTAGAGCTTTATCATCTTTTCTGGAAATCATCTGATAATGAGGAGTGACACTTCCTACTGAGAAGTCATCACTCGCGGAGCCAGTCAATTGGTGAACTCTTGATATGATTTCCGTGGTTGGTGCATCGGTGACGATTGTGGCCCGTCTATGTGAGAGCTAATCACACTCCCGACCGGCCATTCATGGCCGAACGGTCAAATGTTCGATCATTGGTCGGTAAGCCATGGGTTTGAAACTCTCTGAGCTTCGTGATGTGACTAGTACTGACGATTCTTCACAAGGATGAAGCAACTGTACAGTGCTTCGCGGCTTTCCAGCATAGATTGGCTTCACTGACAGGGCGAGATCTCAATCGAATATTTCCAGATGTGAGCCAATTCACACGTACTCGCAAAGATGCCGGTAAGTGCTCTTTTGCTGTTCAGTTTAGCAACAAGTTTCCCTTCTAACTTTTATGTAGCTGCGCACACAAATCACTGGCCACCTTTCGTCGTAGTATTCTGCGATCTAACACGTACATGACCTGAAAATATAACTTCAGGAAAGATACAATATACTGGCTTGTGGCTCCATTGCTTCCGGTTACATATCACAGCTTTACACCGGTCGGATATTGTCCTGTGACTTGCACCGGATCTTTGATGGCAAAGTTTGAGCTCTCGTCGTGGATGACATTGCTTTGTGCTTTGTTTTGATCAGCATCGCAACTAATCAATCGACCTTCGAAATTTCCGGCTTCCCACGATGAAACGAATATCGCATGCGGTTCAAAATGGTTTTTGTTCATCCTGACTTTCGAAGAATGTTGTCTTTGTCTGAGTGTGTTTGAACTGCGTGTTCATTTTTCTTCTCCGTCATCACAAATTCCCTTATACAAACTCGTCGGTGCAGACGGTTGTCTTGCTTTCATTCATCCGTTTTCTGATTTCATCAATTTACGGTACATATTCATTTCTTTGCGGGTGAAGTTCGACTTCATTTTTATGCACCTTGTTCTCGTCTTGTCGTCGTGATGAACTTCGTTCGTCAGTCGTAGTCCCAAGTTAATCTCGACTTGGTGATTTTGAACGTGTCGACTTCGGGTTGACCCCAGGTTGACTGCACGGATAGAATTTATAGTCCCTTGGGGAAGTTTGGTATTTTTTTTAAATACATCCAGTGCTAGGGGGCCAAGAGGCCACCACAAACTTTCACCTTTAAATATACACTTTTTGACTTGAAGCAGCCATCATAACTGTGGGATTACAGTTTTTTTCTTCCGTTTGATATTTGCGACCGTCCACTTGTGTGTCCATACCTCGGATTATCCCACCGTATTAGGATGCTCGTAGGTTCAAAATCTGTAACAAAAAAATTTGCCCAAAAAGGGTGTGAAATCTATTTATTGTGCACGCCTTTTGGCCTTTGCATCCCTACCCATTGCGTGTGTTTTATTTAAGGTTCGAATCCTGTACGTCCGGCCGTTTCATATGCACAGATTCTCATTGTATTAGTATGCTTGTAGGCGGATCATCTACAACGAAAAAAAGCTCAACAAGGATGTGAAATCTATCTATTGTGCATGCTTTTTGTAGAAATCTTAGCAGGAGGGACAGGAATGTTGTTGATAACAAGTGTGAGTTGGTTCTCATTTCAACTTCGTAGAAAATTCGGTTCTAGTCCTCTTTAGACGCATGGTAAGAGGTTAGCTGAGGTTAACCAAGTAGGATCAACAAACGCTAACAACCGACATGTCTGGAAACTCATTGGTTGCAATGTGGAATTCTTTAACACACCTTTTTCGCTAAATTTCAGATATTTAAATTTAAATTTCAGGTTCTCATTGCTTTGATTTGCATGAAATTTGTTTGTGTTCTACGATGCGGATTCCCTCTACACACCTTATCGCTGAATTTATATTATTTAAATTTAAATTTTAGGTTCTCATTGCCTTGATTTGCATGAAATTTGTTTGTGTTTGTCGATGCACCAGTTGCGCACACGAAGTTCACTTCCCGGTGAGTATGGTCTAGACAAGCAGGCGGTCGTCATTACTGACGGTTGATCACACAGCAGTTGATCTGTCCAACGACCTTGGTATTTGGCCTTGAAAAGTTTCGTCCTCGTGCGAACAGTCAGCCAAACTCCCAGCTTTTGGATATCTTGATCGTTACTAAACCTCGTTCTTATGGATCATTTCCTGTTCGAAATGCAAACTTTTCTGAGTTGTTTGTCTTTCTTTACTCCGCACCAAAAGCTTTACACTAGTCTCGCTCGGAAAAAATG